TAAAGAATGTTGTAACCTTATTGCCGAATATTTTTTAACTAGAAATATTTTTTTGCCAAATGATTTTATTGCTGAATACTTATTTTTGCCGAATGTTATATTTTTTTTTGCCAAATTATTGTTTTTTTTAAGTGCCGAGTGGCATAAATTGGACTAAACAACAAAACTTCGGTATAAACTTTTATTAATAAATTTGGATTTAATCGACTGTAATTCAGCAACCGAATAACCCAATTTGGACTAGTGATGAAAAAGCTCTCTGCAACCTTCAAAGTCGAGCCAAGAGAGGGATATTACCTGACCAATATTGTGACTGATGAATGACTGTTTTGTTTAGATTATATTTGGAAAAAATCATTTCGTGATATCTGCAAGCATTGTCATGCTGCTCAAATATTTTCAAAAGCTGAGAAATCAGATAAAAAATTCTATGAAAAGACCAAGGACAAACTAGTGCCATATTTTAAAAATAAAGAAAGTGTATTGCCAGCTAATCAAAAAAATAATATAGTATACTCTGGATCAGTAGAAGATGCTTACAATTATATAGTACATCTTTATACTTCTCAAGGTAATTATTTAATTAATGTTATATATATCAAGTATTCTGATTCAATTATTAACCAGCTTTCTTTTTTAGAAGATAAAATTTTTTATCCAACCAGTTTGCAGTTTTCTGTTTGTACAGACCCATTCTGTCCCTTTGAACTAAATTGGAGACTACAGAGTAATGTGGATGCTTCTTCTAAGTTGTCTATGAAGCCTCGTAAGGCTAATCAAATTTTAAATACTCAAACAATTAATGAAAACCTGTCGCCATTTATACAAAAGCACAAAACGCAAAGTATCTGGAATTTAAAATGGAAATTAACAATAAGATATTAATGAATAATATTAATGAATTGATTTATTTTTTATTTGACTTATTTTTCAGTGCAAAAATTACATCTATTAGTTTTACAAGAAATCCTATTGTGACAAGTTTCAGACTTTATTATCAAGTTCAAATCCTCAAACTTGTTTTGATATGACTATCAAGACTTTGATACTGATTCAAAATCCACATATTTGGCAGAAACTACCATATTTTGCAGAGAAGATTGAAGAAGCTCGCAGAAAAATATTAATGACACTTGGATACTCAGCTTCGAAAAAATAATCTCTGTCAATAATCAACAGGTTCTAATATCTTTATGATATATTATAACTAGTTAATAAATAAATCATTACAATAATACAATGTAATAAATCGAAGAAAGAGAATCATGTGATACCATAAATGAACTATGGTTATATGTCTGACATCATGAATATAGTTATAATTAGCTAATAATAATGCAACGGATAAACCTTAGGGCAATAATAAAAATGTGAATTTACTGTGGATATATCAAAAACGGAACTTAAATTTGGGGTACTTGCCGATCTATCAAAAACGGAACCCCTGATATATCAAAAACGAAATTTTTGCTGCAGTGTCAGAAATAGTCCATACTTTAATCACGTGCGTCATGTGCCAGTATTTATATGCGAGTCCATATAAATTGTCTTTCATTTGCCTAAGGTGGGCGAAAGTTTCATAAGTCTATTTTATCCCTTGCGTTGCAAACAAAACGGTATTTTTTGACTTTCCTTTGCTCGCAAATTCCATCCAAGTTCCTACCTACCATTTGTCAAATTTCACGCCAAATAAAATGACAAACAAATATTGTTCAAAGTGTAGTGCTAACAAGGATGTCGATGATAGCACTAATTACTGCTCAATATGCGGAACCGCCTTCGGTACAGTAGCTAAGTCCTGTTTATCAATTGAAGTAGTTCCGATGATAGCCGGAGCTGCCAAGGCATTGGCCGAGGCTGCTAAGACATTAGTCGAACACGCTGATAAAAGTGGTGCCACAATTAGCTTGAGTACGACAGTAGTGGATACTTCAGCTTCAATAGGTTTTACATATACTCCAAAAAGTTAATGGACGCCCAAAAATTTTTGTTAGACGTGTTGCCGGTTATTTTTATTTATGTACTGTATACAGTATACCTAACAAGAGAAACAATGAATTTGAAAAATCAATTGAAGACCTTTTTTTCATTTGCGAATTATTTGAGATAAGGAACTATATTACCCAGTAAAATTGGTTTTATTATGCTTGATTTTATAAGTGAATCTGGTAAAAAGTGTCAAATTGTATTTTTGTATACGATCCGAGCGGGAAGAGACAATAGCAAAAAGTTTCCTTAATTTTTATAGTTGCAATATACAATATATTCACATCACAATTGATTTTTCATTTATTTGAATGGATCATGTTACGGGACTTTGTTTATTCACCTCGCTTGAATGCTAGCTTAACTAAAAAAAGCATATTAATTGACTGTTCTCAATATATGAAAGGTTATTTACTATAAGCGAAAAAATAACAATAATTGTTCCTGAGTTTATTAAAAGGAATTTTGTTTAAAAATAAATTGGGCAATTTAATTTTATCAGATCCATCATCACTAACATAATAGATCTTTTTTTTGTCAAGTCAAAAAAGTATTCAATTTATTAATCTGATAGACAAAAAATAAAACTAACAATGTTTAACGCATAGTATCCTGTTATAATAAACATTAATTTTTTTGTTTGTAATATAGTGAAATTTTGAAATTTGATATAAATAATATAAAATATAAAATATATAGAGAGTATTTATTTTGACAAATAAAAAATCCAATTTTTTTAAATAATCTACAATTAATTTCAGTTTTTTTTTATCAGGACTATATCAGTTAAAAATGGAAATTAAAATTTTTTTATAATTTAATAATTACCTATTCAAATCAAATAATATTTTAAATATATATTTATTAAGATCTATAAATATATGTATATATTAAAAAAAATTTTTTTTTAAATAGATAAACATTATTTCTTTTTTTTTTTTAAATGCTAAGTAAGGTTTTCCTCAAGTTTTTATTAATTACTGTATATGTAATAAATGTAATACATTATATACAAAATCAATAAAGTATGAAATATATAATAATACATATTGACCTGCTATCAAGAGCAGATATATCAATGGAAAAAACTTAGAAAGAAAAACCCGAGAAACTATCTGCCATAAAAAAATAAAAAATAAAAAAACATTTCAGGCAAGATCTTCAATTGTAGAAAAGAATAATGGAAATTTGATTTAGGAGAAGAAATGTTAATAACATATGAGATAGTCTATATGCTACTTAAATATAAGTAAGATATATAGTTAATATTTTATGGAGAGTAAAATGTTATAGTGGTGATGTGTTTAGGATTTAGGAGTATATTATCTTTAAACCAACAATCCCTTCCACAAGGCACAAACCAAATGTGTCTACTTAGGTTACTGCTTCCTTTTCGATAGCTGGGTATAACTCCAGCAGCAGTAGAGGAGCACTGACTTAAACTGCCAAATTATGGACACAACTCCCTAGTATTTCACTTTTACTCACAATAAAAGTATTTTACTTTTACTCACATTGATTAAGCTTTGACTGCTTTTTTTCTTTAATGGTAGCATTGCTGCTTGTGGGTTGCAACTCCATTATTGAGATAATAAATAGTCATATGGTTAATAAAAGAGTGTTATAATTGAGGTATAAGTAAGTCGAATAACTAGAGCCTGCTCCAATTGCTTGTTTTGTTGTTTGAATGCATGTAGAGTAAAGATTACCAAAATCCGTGCAGAGTACAGGTTACGCACTCTTCCAATCCAATAAGTTATCAGATCATTTTTTTGTTATTGTTATTGTTATTATTATTATTATTATTATTATTGTTATTATTGAATATAAGAATTTTTTGTTAAAAAAACTGATTATAAATAAGTTTGAACAGGTTTGGTTTTGTTAAGGAGTAAAGAATTTTTATTGATTATTTGTTAAGTATAGATTTTTTGATGAGATAGAACTAATTATAATTTTTGTGTAAATTTGAAAAGAATATTGAAAAATGAAAAAAATAAGGTGTAGAATTGATTTTGAGATAGAAAGAAAAATAATAAATTTGTAAAGGTTGTATTAAGACAAACATTAGATCCAGTAACTTTGTTTGAATATGTTATTAGGATTGAGTTTGTATTATAGAGAAAAGAAAGGTAAAAGGAAAAGCAATTATTATAGTCATATAAAGAGGAGGTACCTAAAGACAAAAAATTATGAAGAAAGGTTGCTATGGGCCTTTTCCCATATAACCAAGAGCTAAGGAAGACTCCCAACTTGCTTAGGTCTTAACCAGAGGTCTCATTCCAATACAATAGTATTCCTTAAAATCTTTATGTCCATTGGGTTTAAAGCTTATTTGCCTTAAAGAATAAGGAGAGGAAAATGCTTCTTGGAAGAAGATTTCCTAAAAAGGAAATTTTCAAAAATCAACAGTGAACAGGTGAGAGTTTTTTTTTTTTTGCTTTAACATTATTTCTTTATTTATTCATATATTATAAAATATATATTTAAAAAGAAACAATATCTCTTACATGTTAATTGCAGTAAACTAAATACTAACTTGCTTACAGTAATCATTTAACTTTTATTAAAAAAATTTTTTTAAAACTAATATATTAATTAAATAATATCAAGCAATTGTAAATATTTATTTAAAATTATTTTAAAAAATAATACTATAGTAATTAGAAATAAGATTAAAGATATATATTGTAAAATTGAAATTACTTTGGATTAATATTTCTGTAATTAATATAAAAATGTCAACTATAATATTGTTTTAAAAAAAAAAATTAAGTTAATATTATAGCAAAAGAATGTATTAATTATTAGTATATATACACACCCCTACCATAATTTATCGAAAAAAATTATTACATAATTTTTTTTTTATTTTTTGACATTTTTATAATGACGTGTAAAAAAAAATTTTTTTATT